GTCGTATCTGAGGTAGCGCCTCTGGAAGACGCCCTTCGTGTTTGTAGGTCTGAGCGTGACAATGAGATGGAGACGTCTGCACTCAAGGTAGCGAGGTTGGAGGAAAGGATCCAAGATCCGGAGGCGGAGTTTTTCGTGTTGAACGAACAGGTTATTGCTTTGAAGGCGGGGGAGGTGCAACGGCAGTCGCAACCCTCCACGTCTCGTACCTTAATTGACCCCGTCTTGCCGCGGGAGTTGTATGAGATGTGGGTCTACGCCGACGCTCAGCTTGACATGTACAAGTCCCTGCAGGCTAACGGGAAGGTTTCCGAGGCAGAACTCGAGGGTGTTCGTGCTAAATCACGTGCAGCCTGTGAAGCCTGTGGTTATGATCCCGGTATGCCCGGCGGGGATGATGTCGATGATGATTATGCGGACAGGCTCGCCTCTGATTCTTGGTATAACGAGGAGTATGCCGCGGGGGATTACACAGCGTAGGGCTGTTGTATTTATTTTTGTTTTTCTTTGCTGCTTTTGTGAGGGCGCCTTCGAGCCCATTGTAAAAAGTTTTTGTAATACAACAGTTGTAATGGAATGATTACCTTTTTGTTATGTACCTTTTTGTTTTGCACTTCCGTTTTTGGCTCAGTCGATTGTAGATCTTGGTAATTCAGGCGAGGTCGAATGTTAAGTGATTCGAGCGAGATCGAATGTCTTCTTTCGGCGATGGACTTTGGCCGTAGGGGTGTTATTTCGAGTTTAAAGTCGAAAAGTTAGCCCGTTATAATTCGAGTGAGGTCGAATGTTTTCTTTTGGCGATGGCCTTTGCCCGTAGAGGTGTTATTTCGAGTTTAAGGTCGAAATGTTAACCCGTTGTAATTCGAGCGAGGTCGAATATTTTCTTTTGGCGATGGCCTTTGGTCATAGGGGTGTTATTTCGAGTTTGAGGTCGAAATGTTAACCCGTTGTACTTTGAGCGAGGTCGAATGTTTTCTTTTGGCAATGGACTTCGGCCGTAAGGGTGTTATTTCGAGTTTAAGGTCGAAATGCTAACCCGTTATAATTCGAGCAAGGTCGAATGTTCTCTTTTGGTGATGGCCTTTGGCCGTAGGGGTGCTATTTCGAGTTTAAGGTCGAAATGTTAACCTGTTGTAATTCGAGCGAGGTCAAATGTTAGATGCAAAAGAAAACAATGGAGAGTAAAATGTTGCTTTATTTCACTTCGTTGGAGAATATCATGGAGTGAAAAATGCTGCTTTATTTCACTTACTGGAGTATTGTACATGTTGGTTTCATTCATATATTAAAGAAGTTTCCCTGTATCTAGTCCCTTCATCGTTTGGCCTGGAGAGGTCATCGGCGGCCGAGGCGATGAATTATACTTTAAACTTCGAGACATCCCCCTCGTCGCCTCGTTAAAAACCTCCCCGAGAAAACCCAATTTGGACAAAACCCGGGCGAGGGAAAAAGAGTACGACTTGAGGGGCATCATTTTTCAGAAGTTGAAGTGTTTGAGATGGGCGACATTCTAGTTGTTTTTTAGTAGTTTTCCTTCCATTGTTTCTAGTTGGAATGCCCCTTTGCTTGCTGCCGTTGTGACTTTGTACGGCCCGTCCCAATTAGTTCCGAGTTTACCTTCTTTTGGGTCTTTGGTCGCTTGTGTTTTGGCCTTGAGGACATAGTCTCCGACTTTGAGTGGTCGTATTTTGGCCTTCTTGTTATAGTACCTTTCCGCTTGTTGTTTTTGGGCTACCATCCTTACATAAGCCATGTCTCTTCGTTCTTCTACCTCGTCGAGGTCTTATTTTCTGTTCTCGTCATTTTTTGGTTCGCTTTCATTGGAGTATCTCAGGCTAGGCTTTCCGACCTCAACAAGTATAACGGCGTCAGTTCCGTAGACTAATGAATATGGCGTTTCGCCTGTGCTTATTTTGGCGTGGTGCGGTAGGCCCATAATACATCTGGTAGCAGTTCCAGCCATAGCCCTTTGGCGTCCTCAAGCTTTTTCTTTAGGATATTCGATATTGTTTTGTTGGAGGATACGACTTGAGCATTTCCAGCGGGATGATGTGGCGTGAAGATTATTCGCTTGATGCGCCATTTTTTGAAGAACTCGGTCGTCTTTTTCCCGGTGAACTGAGGTCCATTATCGTAGCTGATTTCTTTGGGGATGCCGACGCGGCATATGATGTTTTTCCATATGAATGTGATGACTTCCTGTTCGCATATTTGGGCGAATGCACCTGTTTCCAAAGGAAACGTGTCTTACCTCGCCCCGTTGGAAGGGGTCCAACGATGTCCATTCCCCATTTGATGAACATCCATGTTGAAGTGACAAAGTGGAGGAGTTCTCCCACTTGGTGTATCATAGGCGCGTACTTTTGGCACTGCTCGCATCTCTTGACGTAGTCCGTGGCCTCCTTTTTCATAGTGGGCCAGTAATACCCTGCCCGAATGAGGCATCTGATGTGGGCTCGGTTGCCTGTATGGGCACCACAGTGACCCTCGTGTACTTCTTTGAGCACGCGCCTTGTTTGAATTGGCCCTAGGCATTATTCCAAAGGGCCGCCGAACGTTCTCTTGTAAAGGTCATGATTTATGAGGCTGTACCTGGCCACCTGCATTCGAAGCTTTTTGGCTTATTTTTTGTCTTATGGGAGTGTTCCCTCCTGCAAATATGTCATGATGCGGTTGCGCCAGTACCAAGTCAAATCTATAGAATATACCTCAATTTGGTCTATTGGCGAGTGGAGGAGGGTGACCACATTCTCCTTGGTGATATTTTTGGTTGCTGCTGTTAGTTTGGCAAGGCCATCTGCTTTGATATTTTGCGCCTGGGGTATCTGGTCGAGTCGGCATTCATCGAATTCTAGCAGTAGTTTATGAATTTCCGCCCGATATTTCTGTAGCCTTTGCTCCTTGATTTGGAAAGTCCCAGTAACTTGGTTAACGACAAGTTGCGAGTCGCATCGGAGGACGACTAGTCGTGCACCGTATTTGAGGGTTAGCTTTAATTCTACAATTACAACCTCATACTCGATCTCATTGTTAGTCATTTCGGGGAACCATATGGATTGGCGAATCACTTCGCCTGTTGGGACTTCAAGTATGAGTCCCAGTCCAGATCCCGACGCATTAGATACACCGTCGGTGTAAAGGACCCAGAGGTCGGGCCGCCCAGGAGAGGTGCAAAGTGTTTCCTGCTCGACCTCCGATAATATTTCAGCACTGAAGTCAGCGACGAAGTCGGCGAGTACCTGCGACTTTATCACCGTTCGCGGCTGATATGTTATATCGTTCTCGCTCAATTCTACGGCCCACTTGGCCAATGTTCCCGACAATTCGGGTTTATGCAGGACGCTCCTGAGGGGGAAAGTCGTCACCACCGATATGGGGTGACATTGAAAATATGGTCTAAGCTTTCGTGAAGCTATGACCAGTGGCAGAGCTAGTTTCTCGAGGTCGGGATACCTCGTTTCGGCATCGACCAAGGTTTTGCAGATATAATAAATCAAAGATTGCGTAACTTTGTTTTCGTGGACAAAAACTACGCTTACCGCGACTTCTGAGACGGCTAGGTAGATTAGGACGCGTTCGCCGGGTTCTGCTTTAGCGAGTAGTGGTGGCGAGGACAAGTATATTTTTAGTTTTCTCAGGGCCACAGTGCAATCTGAATTCCACTGGAGTCCGTTGTCTTTTTTCAGCACATCGAAAAACTTATGGCATCTATCGGATGACCGTGAGATGAACCTCGACAGGGCGGCTATCCGGCCAGTCAGCTTTTGTACCTATTTTTTGCTGGTTAATATTTCGGGTATTCCTTTGATGGCCTTAATCTGGTCTTGATTGACTTAGATTCTTCTTTGTGATACCAAGAAACCGAGAAATTTGCCAGAGGTTACGCCGAAGGCGCATTTTTCGAGATTTAGCTTCATTTCGTACCGTCTTAATATTTCGAGGGCCTCTGTAAGGTGGTCGATATGGTCCTCTACCCTTTTGGATTTGACCAACATGTCATTGATGTAAGCTTCCATTGTTTAGCCGAGTTGGTCTTTAAATATCTTGGTGACCAACCTTTGATACGTGGCCCCTGCGTTCTTTAGCCCGAATGGCATAACCTTGTAACAGTATGTTCCTTGATGGGTGATGAAAGTAGTTTTCTCCTGGTCTTCCTCCTCCATGAGGATTTGATTGTAACCCGAGTAGGCATCCAAAAAGCTCAGCAGTTCGTGCCCTGCTGTTGCATCGATGAGTTGGTCGATATGAGGCAGGGGAAAAGAGTCTTTCGGGCATGCTTTGTTCAGATCTCTGAAATCTACACACATCCGCCATTTCCCATTTTTCTTCTTTACCATGACCACATTTGTGACCCATTGGGGATATTTTGATTCTCGGATAGAATCGTTGGCGAGCAGCTTATCAACTTCATCGCTGACGTCCTCATTAATTGCGGTATTGAATTTTCTCCTTATTTGTCGCACTGGTGGATAGAGCGGGTCGACATTCAACTTGTGCGTAGCGATGTCTTTCGGGATGCCCGAAATATCTGAGTGGGAGAAGGCAAACAAATCGGCGCTGTTAGCTAAGAATTTATGAAATATACCTAGTTCTGAGATATTGTGCCCGATATAAGCCTTTTTTGTGCTGTCGCTGTTGTTTAGTTGGACGGGATCGAGATCTTCTATCATTGACTCAGCGGCTTCCACGATGTCGGGATCCTTAATAACGTCTGTCTGTGAGTCTGATTTGGTTCCCGACATCGCTAATTGCTATGCTTCGGCGTTTGCTCCCTTTAGTTGCCGGGTATTTGTGCAATCCTCGGCGATACGATAGCATTCTTGAGCAGTGCATTATTCGCCTAGGATGCTGAATATTCCCATGGAGTAGGGAACTTGATTACTTGATAGAGGCTTTACGGGACGGCCCTCATGGCGTGTATCCACGGCCGTCCTATGATGGCATTGTAAGCTGTATCTTGGTCCATGATATGAAATGTTGTTTCTAAGGTGACTCCTCCGCTAGGATGTTATACAATGCGGTATTATCTGATCCTCGAGCCTCATCTGTACGAGGACTCGAGGATGGATAATACACGCGCCGTTTCCATCGTCCACCATTATTGTTTTCACATCAGTATCTGAAAATACATAAAGTAATAACAAGAGCGTCGTAATGAGGAAAAGTCAAACCGTCAGTATCTAACTTATCGAAGACGATACTATCTTCGAGGTCATCATACCGTTCGTGAGTGATCGGCCGCATAAGTTTGTGTGTAGTGGTGAATTTCACATGGTTGATTGCTGCCCCGTCGCCTCCACCGATGATCATTTGGATGGTGTGAGCGGGAGAAGGGGGCTTTGGAGGTCCCTGGGGTTGTTCGCGTCCGTGAGCAAAGTTGGCTCGTCCTTGGTCGCTCATTAGTTCTCTCAGGTGTCCCTGGTTCACCATTCTCACTACCTCCTGTCGCAGACCTATGCAGTCTTCAGTTTTGTGACCCCGCTCTTGGTGAAATTCACACAGAGCGTTCGACTTCCGAGTATTTGGATCAGATTTCATCTTTTGCGGCCATTGTACCTTCGTGTCGAGCTTCTCTAGTGCGTACACTATTTCTGAAGGGGAAACACAAAAATTGTGAGCAGATAAGAGTGGAGGCATACCTCTTTCGTTTCGCTGAGTCCCTGTGTGCCGAGGAGGGCCATCAGTGTGCTGAGAGGGTAGTGGGACGGTTGTTCTGATGTAGGGCTGATGTCTTTCTCAGCCGAGATGGGGGCCCAACTGATCCCTTCAACCGTCATTACGACGATCTTTCCTTGATTCTGCTTGAACTGACGTCAGCCGTTGGATTGGACCGTTTAGGTCGTCCTCATCGGCTCTTACCTCAGCACAATAGGCATTGTGGATTTCTTCCCAAGTGGTGGGAGGGTATTTCATGAGCCTGCTTAATAGTTTTCTGGTTGCTCTCGACTCGTTCCTACTCAACTCGTTCTGGAAGGCCGCTACCAACATCCCCTCTGATACATTTGGTAGGCTCATTGTCACGACCCTATTCCCGGACACGGTCGTGATAGCGCCTCTCGTGAAGACAAGGCCAACCAACTATTCCCAATTCGAAGTTAAACACCTAAACATCAAGAAAACAGGCTAAAATATGATTTAATAGTACTAAGTAGCAGATAATATCATAATAATGCGGAAGTACAACCCAAACACAGCCCTAACCGGGGTGTCACTAGCCATGAGCATCTATAAGTCATAATACAAGTCTGCTAAGTCTATGCTAGTACAAATATCTAAAAATAGATAGAAATGATAAAGGAGGAGAAACACGGGATTGCGGACGCCAGGCAGCTACCTCGTGACTCCGAATGTCCGCCTGAAGCTATAAGGATCAGCACTCGGGAGCAGAACTAGACACGCCAGAATCTGCACACAAGGTGCAGGGAGTAAAGTGAGTACTCCAACTCAGTGAGTAACAAATGTAAATAAAGACTGAAAAAATCACGTAAGGCACAGGGCAATCTATAATGAAGCAGTAAAACCATTTGAAAAATAGTAAATCACTCAAGAGATAAATAGAAATCCTTTTTCAATAGGAAAGCAGGAAAATGACAAGCAATTAAGGAATAATGAACACATAGAAGTTTGCCCCTCGGGCACAGTATCAACAACTCCGCCCCTCGGGCAACATCTCAGAACCATACCAGCCCCTCGGGCTCAATCTCACATCATACTGGGTACCCGCGCTCACTGGGGGTGTGCAGACTCCTGGAGGGGCCCCTTACGGCCCAAGCGCAATATCAAGCCATCTCGTGGCGTCATCACTAGGCCCTCAGCCTCATATCAATCAAGCCACCTCGTGGCGTACATATCTCAGGCCCTCGGCCTCAAATCAATATCAGTGTTTCCTCACAACATAAGCCCTCGGCCTTACTTAGTCAAAAATTCTCACAAGCCCCTCGGGCAGTAGTAAAACAGTATTTCTCAGCCCAAACATCATTTAAAATATCATTTAAGTAGTTAAAGGGAGTAAACATGGCTGAGTATAAAAGCATTGGAAAATAACATGACTGAGTTCAAGTATAAAGTCAAAACAGTGAGGAAATATCAATAAAATCCCCCAAAGGGTTAAAATAGTTGGCACGAAGCCCAAATATGGCATTCCACCCGAATAATGATGATAGCAAATAGATTTCAGTCAAATACGCGGTAAAATCATCAATCGGGATGGACCAAGTCATAATCCCCAATAGTGTACGACCCCACGCTCGTCATCAAGTGTGTGCCTCACCTTAATATAGCACTACGATGTGCAATTCGGAGTTTCAAACCCTCAGAACATCATTTACAATCATTACTCACCTCGAACAGGTCAAATCTCTAGCTCGCGATGCCTTTGCCCCTCGAATTGGCCTCCACTCGCATCGAATCTATCCAAAATCAGAACGAGGACGTCAAAATAGGCTAAGGGAACGAAGCCCAAGTGAAAACAATCAATAATAAACACAAATCTCGAAATTACCAAAACCCGACCCCCGGGCTCACGTCTCGGAATTCGAAAATTTTTACACCAATAGATTCCTTATCTTCCCACGAGTTCATACATACCAAAAACTCAAAAATCCGACCTCATATGGCCCATGAAAACCTCAATCATAGGTCTCCAATCCTAAACCCTAGCTTCCCTAATTTTCACCCTTAATTCCCACAAATTCTAGCTCTAATCCATGAAATAATAGCATAGGAACAAGTTTTAGGTCCAAAATCCTTACCTCAATGAAGTTCCCTTGAAATCCCTCTTCCAAATCGTCTAAAAAGCTCCCAAGCCGAAGTCAAAAATGGTGAAATAACCCAAAATTTGCGAAGAACTCTTTTAATTCTCCTGCCCAGTTGTTCCGCATTTGCAGCACAATTGCCGCTTCTGCAGTACCGCATATGCGGTCTATCCTCCGCTTCTGCGGAAATCACTTAAAGGACCAATTCCGCATCTGCTGTCCACTCTCCGCACCTGCGACTCCGCAGGTGCAGTCCAACTACCGCATCTGCGGTTCCTGACTATCCGCATCTGCGGCTCCCCTTCTGTACGTGCGGCGCCGCACCTGCGGTCCCCAAACCGCAGGTGCGAAAACACCAGAAGCAGCAACTTCAGCAGCTGCAATAACATCTCAACTTCTCCGTAGACCACCGAAATCACCCCGAGGCCCCCGGGACCTCAACCCAAAGCACAAACATATCCTAATACCTTATTCGAACTTGTTCCAATCATCAAAACACTTCAAACAACATCAAATCAACCAAAACACCTCGGATTCAAGCCTAAGTTTTTAAAATCATCCGAATTCCGCTTTTGATCAAAAACCCCACCAAACCACGTCCGAATAACCTGAAATTTTGCACACACATCCCAAATGACACCACGAAGCTATTGCAACTCTCGGAATTCTATTCCGACCCCTATATCAAAATCTCGCCTACCAACCGGAAATCGCCAAAATATCAACTTCGCCAATTCAAGCCTAAATCTTCTCCAAACCTCCAAAAGCCATTCCGATCACACTCCTAATTCTCAAATCACCTCCCGAAGCTAACCGAACCATAGGGACTCCCCTCCGATCCCTCTAACACACATAAGTCAACATCCAGTTGACTTTTCCAGCTTAAGCCTCTTAAAAGAGACTAAGTGTCTCAAACTTCACCAAAATCATTCCGGATTCAATCCGACCAACCCGATACCATAAAAGACGGATAAATAAAATAATAAGAAGCAGAAATAGGAGAAATGGAGCGGTAACTCATGAGACGACTGGCCGGGTCATCACACTCATTCTCACCTTGTTGAACCGGGCGAGGAAGTCCCTGAGTCCCTCGCCAGGCGATTGCCTAACGGCGAATATATCGTTCACCCTGGCTTCCGCCTTTTTAGCTCCTGCATGAGCAGTGACAAACTTGTCCGCCATTTCCTCGAACGTTGCTATTGATCGCGCCGACAGTTTTGAGTACCAGGTTAGGGCTCCCCCCCGTTAAGGTTTCGCCGAACTTTTTCAGTACACTGACGGTACTTGCTCCTTCGAAAGATCATTGCCCTTTACCGCTATGGCGCAGTGAACGATATGATCTTCTGGGTCCGTAGTGCCATCGTATATCTTCAGGTACGGTGGCATTTTGAAGGTTTTGGGAATTTCATGGGGGGCTGCTTCCTCGCTATACGGTTGTTCGACGAATCGACCAACATCTCGTTTCAGTAACAACTTTGGGGCTCCCGGTATCTTATCGACCATTTCTTGATGCTCCTTCATCTGATCACGGAGTTCCTTGTTTTCATTTTTTATTTCTTCCATTTTCTTTAGAATGGCTGCGAGCGCATCACTACCTGCATCAACAGTGGGGTGAATGTTACCTATTTGGGGGGCATTCTGTTCGCCAGTGGTTGTTGTGATATCTACATGTGCAGTATCTCTGTTCTCCCTTTGGGCTGGTTTATTGAGTATGTTGTTCAGAGTGCTTGTTAGCCACTCTTCCAGTAGTCTTTTTAGCGGCGGTGGTGCCTTCTGTTGTTGTTGACGTGGAGGCTCCCTTTTCGCATGAAGCGGTTACGCTTTTGCGGGGGGAGGCGAAGCACTCCGCCTGGGTGTAACATTTGGTGTCGCGTTCTCATTGTCTTCTTGGCCATCTTCGTTGATGGTGTTCAAGATGTTGGTAGTGACACCTGTTATCGTTTTCAACCTCGCATCTCCTTTTCCTGCCATTGTTAGTTGGTGCAAATTATGATCTAGAAAGAACTATTGTTTCAACTAAAAACCTCCCCACATACGGCGCCAAATTGTTTGAGCAGATAATTGCTAAACCAATTAGTAACAAATTAATGGAGTGAATCTCAGTTGAACTTAATAAATTCTAGACCAAATAGAACGAAATTCTAATATTGCGAGAAAAGTTTAGGAGCATTAATCAGTGAACTTAATACGCTATTATTGACAAAATATATAATATCTTAAACGTGCAATGAATGCAAGAAACGACAGTGGCTATAGTGTAAAAGAGCTGTCACCCAATGATTATGTGATTGGGTACCTCTTCTTTCTGATGACGTGAAAGGGTATGCCGCTGATATGAATGTGAAATCTTGTGATTTATGGATGAAGGTTAAACAACATGTGCTTGAATAAAGCGAATAAGACAATTGTTTCGTATATTCCTTCCCTTCTTTTACCACGTGGTTCAGTTCTTAGAAAAGGCATATCCCCCTATTGTTCACTATCTCCTCCTATTTATAAGGGACATTTCCCAAAAAATCCTCAAAAGTACAACCTAAAGTATATCCAAAGGAATATTCTTCCTCTCTTTTTCTGAGTTTAAACTACCGTTATTATCTTATTCCAACTGCCCGCTTCTGATCATCATCCTTTATCGTAACGACCGTCAGTCGTTATGTTACGGTCGACCCCGTCCTATGTCTTGCTTATCCGGTACCAAATTTGGACCTATACACAAAGTATCGAGTTGCCCGCATCATTAGAGAACTCCTGAAATTTACGACGACTCGTCTGTCACATTAAGAA